CAAAGAGAATGTCCACAGCACATTGATAATGGGAAAGAGCAGGGTCACTCCTCTTAAGCCCATTACCATTCCTCGTCTGGAGTTGACCGCTGCTGTCGTCTCAGTGCGAGTCAGCACCTTACTGCAAAAGGAGCTCGACCTAGATACCATAACCGAAGTCTTTTGGACAGACAGTAAAGTGGTTCTAGGCTACGTCAAGAATGAATCGCGACGGTTTCATGTGTTTGTTGCCAATCGGGTGCAACAAATAAGAAGTCGCTCTGATCCTGACCAGTGGAAACATGTGGGGACGAAGGAGAACCCGGCAGATGAAGGATCTCGAGGTTTGAGAGTTGAGGAAATTCTCACCTCGAAATGGCTGAAAGGGCCAGACTTTCTCTTGGAAAGAAAACTACCACCTCAAGAATCAACCGAATATCAGACTTCTCCAGAAGATCCAGAAGTAAAGAAGACAAGCGTGCTGCTGGTGCAGACAGTGAAATCTGCCGTAGAGCTTGAGCACTTCTCCAAATGGCGCTCTCTTAGACGAGCCATAGCAGGATGTCAGAAGTTCATGTCTCGACTGATGGAGGCTGTAAAGGACCAACGTGGAGAGTTGACTGAGAGTTACAAGTCAGAGGCCAACCATCTTCCTCACTATTCCCCGGCGACTGTTGAAGACCTGCAGCGATCCGAACGAACTATCATCAAGCTTGTACAAAGCGAATCCTTCCCAGAGGAGATACGGATACTCACCAGTCTAAATGTCAACGACGGTGACATAGATAGACACCTTGCACGGAAGCGGAACAAGTCAATGAAGCGTACAAGCTCACTCTTCAGGCTGGACCCCTTCATCGACAACGAAGGCATCTTGCGTGTTGGAGGACGTATCAGAAAGGCAGACATGTCATTCGAATTCAAACATCCAGCCATCCTTCCAAGAAGACACCACGTCACTAGCCTGATAATCCGTCATTTTCATGAGCTAGCAGCTCATCAAGGTCGTGGTACGACGACAAATGCCATACGGTCAAATGGATTCTGGATACTGGGATGCAGTGCTGCAGTTGCCACTCAGATCTCCAATTGTGTCAGATGCCGAAAGTTGTATGGAAGGGTGCAAGAGCAAAAGATGGCCAGCCTACCTGATGAGAGACTTCAGCCAGCACCTCCTTTCACATTTTGTGGTGTAGACTACTTTGGTCCATGGCTGATCAAGGAAGGACGGAAGGAGATTAAGCGTTACGGGGTCCTCTTCACTTGTTTGGCCTCCCGAGCCATCCATATTGAGGTTGCCAACTCGTTGACTACAGACTCCTTCATAAATGCCTTACGCCGATTTACAGCCATACGTGGCCCAATGCGGGTGCTGAGGTCTGACCAGGGAACAAATCTAGTTGGCGCAAGGTCAGAGCTAAAGCGAGCACTAGAAGAAATGGATCATGACAGGTTGCGACACTTCCTCATTGAAAGAGGGTGCGACTATCCAGAATTCAAGATGAATGCTCCTACAGCGAGTCACACTGGGGGAGCATGGGAAAGGCTCATTCGGTCCGTGAGAAGAGTTCTCCAAGCTCTCATGGAACACTCGGGAACCCAGTTGGATGACGAGTCTCTCCGAACCTTCATGTGCGAAGCAGCAGCAATAGTGAATAGCAGACCATTATCGGTAACCACTCTGAATGAGCCCACCGCCTTAGAACCTCTGACACCCAACCACTTGCTCACTCTGAAATCAAGTGTGGTTCTGCCACCTCCTGGCGAGTTTCAGCGTGTCGATGTCTACTCCCAAAAACGTTGGCGAAGAGTGCAGTATCTAGCCAATGAATTTTGGAATCGCTGGAAAAGGGAGTTTGTGCAAACTCTTCAAGCAAGACAGAAGTGGACACGCAGGGTACCTGACGTCCAAGTCGGAGATGTTGTCCTGATTGTTGACAACAATCTACCCCGAAACCAGTGGCAACTTGGTAGAATCTCCGAAGCTATTCCTGGCACTGACGGCCAAGTCAGAAGAGTGAAGCTTGTTGTTGCCGACAGATCCTTAGATGTCAAGGGCAAACGAACACGACCAGTGACAACCCTGGAACGCCCCATCCAGAAGCTTGTCGTGCTTCTTAAGAGTCAGGAGCACTGGGGATTCCCCATCGGGGAGCCTTAGTCCCAATTTAGAGTTTCTTGTTGATGAGTTGTGTTTGACCAGTGTTCGAATTATTGAACTTAGATTTGAAGAGCTCTTTAACTAGTGTTTTTTGGCAAGTTGTTGAACAGTATAGTTTATACCTTTTGATCTTAACATGTAAGTGACGAGTAGGAATTGATATTCAATGTCAGTTTGTAAGGCTTTGAAATGGAAAAATTAGAAGTCACTAATTTTGGGGAGCCATGTAACTGCAGCCTCTGCAAAACCTATAGGGCGCCCTCTTTTGACAACTAGGATTGTACTTGTTGAAAGCACATTGTTTTTAGTAGCCATCTTTATTGCATGTTGTAAATTGTACTCCAGAGCATCTAAAAGGACCACCAGAACCTGATTGTTTTTAAGGCCTAAATAACCCCCAGAAGAAGCAAGGAGGTATTGTTTAATGATTACTCATATCATTGAGGACTTTCTAGAGTCTTTTGAAGCTTTAGTTTATTCAGTTTTTATAAGAAAGGCACTGGACTCTCATTTATATGTTATTTGCATGTAAACATAGTGTAATTCCATGATATTGAACTTTGTATTTGGATTTGTTCTTGTAATTGCAGTTTTCACGGAGCTTTGCCAGTTCATGTTTCGTATTCAATGGATGGAACTGTAGCCTAGATCACAGAGCCTCAATTATTGGAGATTATTTGAACTTGAGCCTGTGTGCTGATCCCTGATCCTTGAATCTTTGTTCTGTACTGGAGCTGTTACCATACTGAAGTGAGAGCTTTACAATACATTCTTGAAACAGCAAGCTTCTGTCGAGACCCTTGTTTATTTGTCTTCATCTTATTTTGCGAGACACTGCGCCCCCTAGTGGCACACCTTAACATAGGCCACCGACTTCATGCGAATCGATAAGGCTGCCGCTACATTAGGGTTAATGGAAGCTTAAAGACACTTTTGGATTTTTCATATATTAAAATAACTAACATTGGTCAGGTGGATGGGGGTAATAGCCAACTGACTACTCCGTCTTTGGAGTTTTTGGGATGCGTTTTTAAGCCGAATGTGTTTTGTGAAACTGACATTTCAGATTAATCCAAAGACTGTTTGACCTCCTAACAAAACGAAGTGCTTTTGGGCCGTATCATAAGTCCGACGCCTCACAGGTCCAACGCCTCATAAATTTCGGACTTATGAGGCGTCGGACTTTTGAGGCATAAAGTAAAGTTTATTTATTCCGCCTCATAGGTCCGACGCCTCATAAGTCCGACAACGGAAAAACGCCTGAGGCGTTTAATTTGTCGGACTTACGAGGCGTCGGAGCTATGAGGCGTCGGAGCTATGAGACGTCGGACTTATGAGGCGTCGGACCTATGAGGCGTCGGACCTATCAGGCGTCGGACTTATGGGCCTTTATTTGGTTAGGGGATACGATTTTGTCGGACTTATGAGGCGTCGGACCTATGAGGCGTCGGACTTATGAGCGGACCCCCTTTAATTATGCGCCGCAAGTCAAACACATGAGTCTTTTGAGAAATTCAGCAGTATTTGTAAAAAATACCATCTAAAATGTCGTGTGTATGTTTTGCCCTCCATTTTAGATCCATGTATAAACACTAACTTCTGCGGGATTTGAAACAACGAACAGTATACAGGTACAGCAGCTCTGAAGCGCACATTCTTTGATCTTAAAGGGAAGATACAACATTGTGCAAACATTGAAAAAACACCAAATAATTAAATTTTCACAAAATATCTTACTGAATTGTTAGGAAATGACAGTCTAAAGCATCCTGTGAACTCGTGGCTCCTGATATGCTAAGGAAAACTGATTTTTTTTTTCAATAAGAAAATAGGGGAAAAGCGGGGGGCGGCCGCGTAAATTATCCGTTGATTGGGGCGCTGGTCAAAAATCGACGAATATGCACACTAATGGGCAATGTGTGGTGATTTTCAGGGTTATACAAGTCATGGCGAAATCAAAGAAAAAATCAGACAGGCAGCTGGCACAAAAATAGCGCCACTTTTTTTTTCCAAAAGGGCACTTTTTCGGAAGAAAACTTAGAGCACAAATGGGGGTTATAAGCGCTGGTGAAAAGTCTTCCCAAAATATTAGGGGTGGTAAATACACCCCCGGCTACGCCCATTCCTTCCTCTTCATACCCCACCAGTCGAGTCGAGTCGAGTCGACACACAATTCACTCCGCGCATGTACGCACATTTTAAAAATGGGTGGCTGGATGGACATGGGGGTGCTGTTCAAAGTGAACGGTATTTGAACAGGAACTTGCCAACTCTACCCCCCCCCCCCCCCCCCCCCTCCAGCGACACCAGCACCCGTCGCTACTCATTTTTTTTTTATTTTATTTATTTTTTTACCACATCTCATTGAGATTATTACGTGATAAGGCATAAATACATATAGGTTTAAATATTAAGAAATTAATACTGGTTTTACAAAACTATATTGATACACTTGAGCGCATTATTTTCAAATTAGAGATGATGGAAGGGGATCCCTAAAAAGCAGAGCTTGTCGCCAGTAGGAATTCCCTTTAACATTGAATTAATACATACATTTAATAAACAAAATGAAACGATCGAAAACGCATATGCACATACATGTAAGTTGTACTATACAGCAAGTATGGTTGTAAATACATAAGACAGAGTAAACATTTGATACCAATAATATTCTTGATCCAAAAGATACGTACGGAAAAGAAAAAAAAAGAAAAAAAGGAAGGAAAAAAAAAAAAAAAAAAGAGGCGCAAAGACAAAGTGGTGTAAATTTAATGAGTTGGGGGGGGGGGCAAAATGTCCCTGCCCCCCCCTCTAAAACTGATAAATCGAGAATGCGTTGAGAAATACAAGCATTTTTTGGCAGAAAAACATTTTTGCCCCCCTCTAGAAAAAATCCTGGCGACGCCCATGTCTGGGATATTGTCCTTTGATAGTAAATTCGATTTCAGGTTTGATTTAAATACTGGAAAACTACGAATGCCCTTAAAAGTGAGATCTCTACGGACTCCCAACAATGACTTTAGGGCCTTTATGCCTATAATTGTCTTTTTATAAACAGTTGTTCTTGCAAATGAAAAGTGAAATTCTCTACCGTTATAATGGTGATGTATAGTTTCGTTTCTGTAAACAATGCAAGCTCCATGCTCAAGTGAATAAATGTCATTGACCTTGAGTGTTTTATGTATAGAAAAGAGGATTTGAATGTTCAAGTCTATCAAGTATCAACATAATAACTCTCAATGCCCGCTTATGTAGATTAAGAATCCTATTCACATTTATGCACAATTCCCCCATGCTAGGATCATAGAGCTTTATCTCATAGTTCAAATGAGGCAAAATCAATGTTTATAAAGCATAAACAGTACTTCCTGTGGGAAAATAGCTTGACTAATGACACCTATATTTCTAGAGATAATAGAACAAATGTTATTTACTTAAACTAGATACGGGAAGATTGTTTCATTGAGTTACAGTGCAGGGAAAGGAAGGTATCTGGTAATGAGATGGGATTTTGTAAGCTGGTGATTTTTCTGTTCGGGTAGGAGCATTTTAATTTACTTAGTTTTCTTCGATCAACGACGGTGATGTCACACGCCCTCAACGGAAGATAAGAGCAGTGCAGTGAAAGGGATTGAACAACTCGGCATGCGCATTAGATTGCGGGTGGTAAGCAGACAATTTTGCTCTCTTTTTTTTCAAAATTACCGCTTGTTGGGAATAATTTTAAGGGGTCTTAATGGAATGTCATGAATGTAGAGATCTATCCAGGGAAACTATCTTTCTAAGTTGTATTCTCTTTACCGGTGTTCTTTGGCCTTTTGTCCTCGCGTTGGTATGTATCTATCCACCTCGTACTAGCCGGCTACGAGGTCACGGTTGGTTGACCTCAATAAACATTCTCAGCGCTACTTGTATGTACTAACTATGCGTCATGCTCCATTGCACTCCCACTTCGTGACCGCGTAGCCGCCAACAGGGTGGTTGGTTTGGACTTAGAATTTAGGGGTTTATTTCCGAGTGGCGGGGTATTCTGCAATTACTCCATCATCTTCTGAGCGTGCGTCAACTTTGGCAAAGCGCACCGCTGCTGTTGCCTGTCATTCCAAAATCTAATGAAGCTCTCTGCGAGCTGCAGTGAAGCACGCCCGACCTGAGTGAAGCGCGTCAGACCTGAGTGAGCACTCACTCACATACAAATGTGGAAAGTCAAGGCTTTGCCGGCAATTTATACTACTACACAGGACCTTGAAGTACATGTAAAAAAGATCCACCATGAAGATTCAGCCTACAATTGCACTGAAAAAAGGAGGCATAACCGACAACCGTGCGGCCATGATGATTGCTGGAGCTAGATTTGTGCACAAACAAACTGCATGTACAATTAAGGAATGGCAATGCGCGGTCAATTACCGTGCACAGTCGAACCAGTCGCTCTTGCGCTGCGGGCGCATGACGTCATGCGGAAGCGTAACACCCGGACGACTGTTTCATGCACTAATATGAGGTTTACCACTCGCATCACAGCTGCGGTACTGGAACGGCAGCTGGAGTTGGCCAGCTAAGATATAGCTATCGCAGCAGGTTCGCGATATTGACTTTTCCTATTCTGGTCTCACGTAAAATTAAAAGTTTAAATTACTACAGAACACTCACCTTTAAGTTTTTCGCCCAACAATTTCTTTTGAAAATGGAGACCGTTTGGCCTTAAAAAAGGTGGAATTGTGTAAATATACCCAAGAATCAACTCCCTGGTTTGGGGGCTTCCATCTGAGGCAGGCTTGATAAAATTACGGATGAAAAAATGGGTCCTATTTGCCTGAGAAAGTGGAAGGATGCCACTTGTAAAATGGCTACATGCAGGCTTGGGAACTACAGTGTATCACTTTTTGGGAGGTGATTTTGGTTGGGTGTGAATATTTAAAAACGTAATTGGCTAATCTACCTAAAAATTGAAAAGAAATGAAAAAAATGAAAGACAAGACAATAATTTAATTTTTGTTTGAGAAACCCCAGTGATGTTGGCTTGCATGTTATGTGGCCCTGAACTTTGTTGATTTTACACTGCTTTCAATTGGGCTTTAATAAGTACTAGTGGACCCACATGTACGTATCAGTGTTGTAGGTCTCGGTCTCGGTCTCTGTCTCTACACCACTTTTTGCTGGTCTCGGTCTCGGGAGCTGTGGTCTCGGTCTCGGTCTTGGTCCCCTTTGTTCTCGATATTTTGGCTGGTCTCGAGTCGAGACCAGCCAAAATGTCGAAATTTGAGTCGCGCACATAAAGCAAAGTAAGCACCAATTTATGAAGGGCCAACCATTTTTGGGGGATTGTGTAGTTTAGCCCACCCCTGTGGATGTTAACTTAAGGTGTTCTAAATGAGGTGCTCTAAATTAGTGACATTCTCGACCCCAATCTTCTCTTTAATTTGGGATAGTACTTTGGAGTAAGAATAAATTTCCCCACCTGATTTTCCAGCAATGAATTCACACACCAGTCACCACTCACTGTTGCCATGAGAGTCCATTTTCTGGCTGCTCATTTGGAGAATACCCCATTATTCCTCTAAAAGCAAAATCCCAGTCAGAAAAAGTAAAAATCCTCATCTGGCTACCACCTCGCACCTTTTGGGTCTACACATGTACATATATATATTCCATGACGAAAATTTTAAAAAGTAAATCAATATTTTTTTAGCTCCAATTTATTTGAAATCAGGTTTTCAAGGAGGCCCAATGTAAATTAAAGTTGCATTGAAACATCCATTAGTAGTCATAGCTGAAATCAAGGGGGTGGCTGTGGAGTTTAGGGTCCGAGTTCCTACAAAATGTACAACAAATGACACATCCACCTTTAATTTTTTACTTTTGTCAAGTTTCAACATTGCAAAAAATTAAGTAAACATTTTTGTACTACACGTAAGGTAGAGTTTCTTCATCAGATATACTCTTTATAGTAGTTAAAAAGGATTTTGTTTAAATATTTTTTAAAGAGTGGCAACAATATTATATATGGAGTTGTTTTCATTTTTTTTAATTGATTGTGACAATAGCAAATCTGTTGTAATGTTGTAACGAACATTTTGAAAAATGGCCTGGTCGGGCGACCATTTTGGCATGTTTGTTGGGGAAAAAAGAAAGGGCCTCCCGCTTCCTTTTTTTTTTAAAGGCAGGACGCTAAACATGTTTTTTTTTATTTGGTCTAATTAAATTGCAGTCTGTTTATGAGTCGGTCAACATTGCCTACTTCAGGACAGGTTACTGGACATTGGAGGTCAACAAACTTACACATGCACAGTTTGTTAACCTCCCGTAGTAGTGTTCATTAACCTGTCCTGAAGTTTCATTTTCACGTGATGTATGTACATGTACATTGTATTATCTGCTTGGATATTTACTTTTCTACTTGTAAACCAGGTTAAGCTCAAATCAAGATCTCTACGGCATATATTGTACACCCTCTGATGCCAACAGCCAAGTTCAGTTATTTTCAGTCATCATCAGTCACAGTTATTAAGCTGATTTTCTTCTTGTTGCTGCCATTGCAAGATGGCACAGGTGAGTTTGGGTTGAAAGTCGATTCTTAAAGGTATAGGCCTAGTCCATCATTTGTAATTTGTGCATTTTGTTCATTTGGAGCAACAAGCGTGCTCAAGATCTAAAGAAGGGTGCTGAACAACGAACCTGATGAAGTTTCAGCTATATACATGTATTTCAAGAAAAACAGCATTCTAGGATTTCGATTTCAAATCAAAAGTTGCTAAATTGGGCCTGAATTCAGTGTCCGAGACACGTTCTCACTGAGCCGATTGCAAAAAAACCCGGAAATTTCCAACGGTGCGTCTTAAGACTCACTGTTGGAAAGGCCTTTTTTCGTTGATTTCTTCAAAATGACAGCTTGCCAGAAAGAATAATTTCACAGGGAGTTTATTCCCCTTACTATCTTTCCACCAAGTATGTTTTCAGCAATAATTACATCAGTTACTTTTTGGATAGCTGCAAATGATGGACTGTAGCTTTAAACAATCATGTTATGCGCATGTTCAGTGTTTTTAACAAAATATAGGTTTGGGGTTCTGTAACGGCGACCCAAAGAGGCCAACCGTCAGTTGGGGGGATTAACTAATTAATCAATCACAAAATAACCGACAAAGGGACAAGTATATGCAATATCAGAAAATAGAAATAATGAAAATTTAATTAGCGCTTCTTCGCTTACAAAATAATTAACCAGGGGAGAGCATGTAAATATAAATGATAGAATTTAAATAGTTACTGACAGAGCAGAGTTCAGACTGGCACCACTACGATACAACACCGTAGTCTACAACCAGGCCATGTAAAAACTACTGGGGGCAAGGGGGGTAATATTGGAACATACTCACAAGACTATGCAGACCACTGAACCCTTTGGTGTAATGGTGGTGGTGGTGATGCAAATTAAAGAACACAGCGTCTTGCACAAAAACGAAGGCAAATTAAACTAGGCTTCCACCGTCGGCCATGTACGTACAGGAACTTAGAAAATAAGAAACTAAAATGCACACCACCATCCACCACCATCCACCACCATGCCCCAGTCGCAAGACCACGCCCTATTGGGCTTTCAAAGGGGTTTTATAGTGCTGGGTAAAAATATGCATAAGAATTTCAAGATTAGGCATACTAATGCGTGTGCCTTTCGTACTGGGAGATATTTGCATAAACACTAAGTACAGAGGTATGGGGGCAAGGAACTTATATCCCAGTATTGTGAAGGTAAACAATAAAGACTGCCATGAGAGCACCATCTCTGGTTTGACTGCAACCCAAATACTATTCTATTGTGGTTTAAAGTGGGTTAAGACTTAAGTTGAACAAAGCAAGCTCTGAAATAGTTTTGTGGCATTAATCTGACTTGAGAACAGATGTAATACATGACTGCTATGGATTACTGTGGCCAAAGCGCTCTCTATTTAGTTTAAAGGTGCAATTGGGACCATAATAAAATCAAATTTTGTTACAGTTCTTCATCACGGCTGCATCAACCGTATTGTACCGTATTAAGTAAAAGAGATTGACTTTGTATCAATGAAAAGCTTCAATTATATGTTTGTTTTCTTTCTACATTCAGATGGAGTTAGAAATCCGGGACAAGGACAATCCAGAGAATCAGGACAAGGGTTGCCCAAAGAATGTGGTGATTCAGCAGCAAGAGAAGAAGGTAACTATGCCACTCAGACAGCTGGGTCTATATTCACTTCTCAATAATAAATTGCCATTCAGTGATTCATTGATTCTACAGTGGCTCCTCTGAACTGGAAGTTAGCGAGATCCACTTCCTTTAGGCATCGTTGGGAGTGTTGAGATTGTGGATCAGACATGTTAATCCATTAACAGGGTGCTATACAGTGCTATCAAATCAATTGAATGTGTACATACAATCTTTCAAACCTTGAAGAAATGGAGGTGGACCCCCCCCCCCCCCCCAGTCATTTTCTCCTCAAACATTTCTCACACATTTTGAGTTTTTCATCAGTTATTTACTGCCAGTGTTTATGAAATTCAGCTACACAGATTTCTAACCATTGAAATTATACCCTTTTTAGTCACATATTTGAGGCTTTTGACATGCTTAGATTGGTGACTGTGTGGTACCTAAGCCTGTTAGTACCATTGAGTGTAAATTGTACCATTCTTTCATGTAGTTTCCCTTCAGCTGAGATGATGTTTATCTACATGTACATGTAATGGAGATGACCTTATTGCACAGTTCTGAGTTGTGCGCAGAGGTGACTGGTGAGGCAAATCTAGCATGCTCTTTCAAAAACAGACTCTTTTGAGCAGCTTGAACACTTTAAAAAAAAAATAGTACACATGTACACAAATGTACATGTACACTTTATGCATATTGATTTTTGCCAATGTTACAATGATGGTTTAATTTGTCCAAAATGAAAACACAAAAATTGTCTGTGTAAGTTAAGGATTGGGTGAAGCATTTCCTAAACTTATTCACTTCTAGTAAAAATCACCTACACAATCGCCTTCGGAGGTAACATTATGAAGTTAAAACTTTGAGAGTATATTTTAAACAAAATATTTAAGACCTAAATTTTTCAGGAAGAAAAAGGAAAATCTGAAATCAATCATTGCCCACTGGGTGTTTTGGTCATACAGTGTAACTCCAATTCAAGCTAGCCCAGAAGGGTCTGATGAAGACCGAGCATGTCATGTTCAATGGATCCAATGGTGGAGGTACTAATGGTCATTCTGGCTCTATATGTGCTTTCAATTAATACAAACAGCTGCTTTCAAGGCAGCTACACTGCCTCTACACTACCTCTGAGCATGCCGGGTGTGATTCAGCCATAGATTTATTTTTAATTAGGCCAAAAAAAAAGAGAGTTCTGCTTCTGATTATATATGCATTTCAAAAATAGGGAAAATACCGTAGGTCGGAAAAATGTTTCTATTTTGCCCATTTTTGGTGCTGATTGAATAGGGTATTCCATTTTACTACACCTCATAAATACTTATGAACTAATCGGAGCGCATTATTGGCCAATTCCGTTGTGCATCCGGGAAGTAAAAATGATATGCGCCAAGGTGACGTCATCCCGGTGAGCATCCTGCTCGCTGCCGTGCAGTAGTTTTTCTGGTAGCACCAAAATTTCCCTCTGGAACCCGCCTCGTAGACATGTACATGTAGTCTATGGCATGTAATCTTTACGGAACCAGTCTGTTGTTATACTCCTTGTTACTACTGTAGTAAAGACACATTAAAGAGTGTTGGCACCAGACCATTCCGTGTATTGTGACAAAGAACTTGAAATGTGCTGAATAAACTATCAAGATGTAAAATCTAGGAAGGCCGTTATCGACAAGGCAATGAGGCTACTAAATATTTATGAGGTGTAGTAAAACAAATACAGCATGGTTAATTTCTGGAAAGTACATGTAGTTGGAATTACTGGTCCCTCGGTGTAGGTCAGCTGGACTGCCTCCCTCCGCTTTGCGTCGGGAGGCAGTCAAGCTGACCTGCACCTCGGGACCAGTACATGTAATTCCCACCCCTCAAACCATGCTGTATTTGTATTTAATATGCAATTTTGGCCTGAACCCATTTTCATTTGCGCCACAAAGATATCAAAAATTGCCACAGAAAGTGATATCAACTTGCCTGAATTAATTTAACAATATCTACCGGTGATGATTCTTTAAAATGATGGAGAATTCAGGTCTACACATCACTATGCACATTGGTAGTCATGACTGGAAACTGGCCAACACTGTCTGTGTATTGCATAGTATCAGTGTGCGTGACTGCACGAGCAGGACATTTCAGGGAAACAGGCTGTGCTGTACATGCATATTTGATGTAAAAAGGATGTTGATTTGAGTTTGATGAAAACAGTTTTTTTTAAGTTGCCGATTCAAACTTTAGGGTTGGGCCATTACAATGTATAATAGAATAAGTTGGGTATTACCGGACAGAATACCCTGGCTAGCAACTGTACTAAAGAATTCCCTAGAGCATGTAGAATACTGGGTATGAAGGCATATATTTGAACAATTCCATCTTCAACTCTGATCACTTCAAGCATTGTTGTAGAACTTTCAGTCCGTCACTATAGTCCTGACAAGTCATCACTCGTCCTCACAATCAGCCGGTCCTAAGTCATGTGAAAAGGGGTTCAAATGAACTGTGACAAAGGCATTCTTTTGCTATCGTTTATCTCATCAGTACTTGTGAGCAGGCTTAAAGGGCCCACTATGCAATGTGATTTCTTTTAATGCTATCCTTAAAAATACACCTTTGTGTCTCATTTAATTAACCTAGCCCCTTAAATGTGGCCAATTTACTGGACTACATGTACCTTCGTAAATAAAGGCCACACTTGGAACATGCACCCAAAAATGTAGAACTTTGTCAAGTTTTTATTTTTAATTTTAAAAAAGAGTCTATTTATGCTTTAGACGAAGCACACTCACCCTCTTTAAGGCGACAGAAAAGTAGTCGTCCCCCCCCCCCTGTTTTCAGACATCTATATTTTGTGTAATTTCAAGGTTAGTTTGTACACGTTAATTAGCTCATCTAAATTCCAACTCGAATTTACACGAAAAAGAGAATGAATTCGCTTCTAAAGCATAAATAAACCACAAACAAAGTCTAAATGTGAAAATAAAAAAACTTGACAAAGTTCTACATTTTTAAGGTGCATGTTCCAAGTGTGGCCTTTATTTACGGAGCCACATTTATGGGGCTACCGGTACATTGAACCTTATTTTGGTTTTTATGGTAATGGAAATTTCCTAAGGTTGCATAATTTGAGCATAAGTTCAGGGGGAAAAAACAAGTGTTATTCAATTTCTAAACAAAAAAATTGTTTTGCATTTTACTGCTAAAGGGTGTACTCATGTAGAGACCCCATATACCGGTAGTGGTGTTCCCTAACGTGGCACACTTTGAAGTTTACCCTGACTTTCGGCATGCAGTGTTACCAAACTTCTTTGTTGAGAAACTTCAAATTCATTCAGTTAAATACTGGTACTGTTACCTTAATAATGCTTGTGAACAATTTCAGTGCCATGAAATTTAGTCCGAAATTCAAAAGCGGTCGCGTTCGGAAATTTGGCACAAAATTGAACAGAGTTTTCCCTAACGTGCGCGTGGTGCACTTAAAATAAATCTTGGGAAATCGCAAGTTGAACATTTAAGAATTTCTTTAAAGTTGATAATTCTGATAAACCATTATTATCTCTAGTTACATTCCCAACTAGAGGTTGGTCAGAAAATTATTATGTTATTTTTGTGCACATTTTCAAAGGGTTCACTGTGCACTTCGAAATAAAATAGAGAAAATCACGCCAAAATAAATTTCTCTTCTTACTATTTTTGACGGGTAGATAAACTCATGATTATGCATGGGAATGTTTACAGCTTGATGGAATTTCACGTACCTTTAAATTTCAGGTAAAACTTTTGCTTTAGCAAGGCGCTAGAGGCGAAAAATCAAAGTGTGCCACATTAGGCCCAGAAAAAAAAAAAGTCTCCGGTTTCTGGTATGTGCGCGCGTCGCCGTAGCCATGCGCGTCGGTAAAATGAAAAAGTTTTTTTTTCAATACAAGATGATGTCTCAAAACCGCCAAACTCACTGGTTTGACTGATATCCTGCTGCTGCACAATTTTAACGTGTTTTTAGATGGGGTTATGATCGAGAATAAGCTTTATGTGGCCTCTCTGGACTCCCATATATTTGCACTAAGTTTAGTCGGGCACCATTTGCAGTCATCAGCTGACATTTGAAGCCAAAAAAACCCCCAAAAAACAGGTAATAAAAAAAAAAAGCCGCGTCGCCGCACCACTTTTGGGGCAAGCTCCATACCAGAAACCGGAGACTTTTTTTTTTTGGCCATAGGGTACAGGTACATCAACAATACCATATCATCTGTTGTTGTTTCAGCAGTGTAGCCATGACTACCAGTGGACAGAGACTTTAAGCATCTTGTTGTTTGTGATTGGAGGCATCATTCTCAGCCTTGCTACCATTTGGAATTCTCTGACCTGGCATCTGCATTGGTTCTGGGGAGCCTCCGGCAACTTCTGGGATGAGCAGTGGTTCAAGCTTCATACGCTGTTTGGTGGCAACACGTTTATGCTTGGTGTTGTGTGTAAGTTCTAACTAAAAATCCATGTATTTTGATATTTTTTTTCATTATTCATTTAATTTTTTCTCTCATTCAGATTGCAATTTGCACATATGGCATCAGATATCAGGTATCATTTCATGTGACAAATTATGCACTGAAATTATGCAGTGAGCTTCCAATTCCTTTTTCTTAACTTGGATCAGCTGACTCAGATCACTAAGGATCCCAACGTGAATTCCCTATCACGGCCTCATCCAAACACCTGAAACATTGTATGCATGGATGCCAACCTACACACAAAGAATTATTATGGTTGGGCAGTTTGGTACTGAATCCATCCAATTATTGTGCATTTTGATCTGTAATTTTTAATAATCCTAAGTTGAGGGTCATTAAATACTACTACATGTACATGTACAGTATGCATGTTCAATTTTCCTAGTTCTAAAAATATTTTATGCATTGTGCACCCTTCTGTTGTTGAAGGTAAGTTTATGAAGTGAGGAAGGAGCTTATATTGTCAGCAATAATACTTATTAAACGGTGATTGGTTGGTCTCATGTAGTGTAGCATCATCCCATATTGCATAATTTGTGTGGCACAGTACCAATATATGTATTCTAATACAGGCTACAGTTATGTCAGTGCAGAACACACTGTTATTGTTGTTTAATATGTCTGAAAGTTGTAGATCTGATGGGGATCAAGTCTGCTTGCAGCGTTTCTTTTATTACCCTCATACAGTTGACTCCCGTTAATACAAACTCAGCTGGACCTAGCCAAAATGTTTGTTATATCAGAATTTTGTATTAAGTGGACCGATGGTCGCATTCATTGTGCACATAAATTCAGTCGGGACCAAGGCTTTTTGCTTGTTTTAACCAGAATTTGTATTAACAGTGTTTGTATTAACGAGATTTGACTGTACATGTATGTAACTATGTGGTTTGTTATAACTTGGCTACCTTACTGGCCTCATCTGATCCATCAGGAGATTAAGAAAAGGTCGTCTGACAATGCCTGACCTTCTGCATTGTATGAGTCTAAGTTGAGAAGATTTTTATTTTTATACAGAACTACAAGATTGTGAAGCCAAGGATGACGGGGAATATTCCCCAAGCGTGCTGATACATGTACATGTAGGGAGCTGAATCTGGCACTCAGCAGGAAACACTGTTCAGGCCACACTGACAGCATAATCAATTGTAAACGCATACGAGTACCAGTATTTTAAAGTATGCGTTACTGCTATTAATAAATGTTGAGTACCACAATGCCTTCCCATTCATGACCTTTTTCTTTAAATCACTACAGACTAAGATAACACTTGTCTTTTCTGCTTTGACAGGTACTCAGGTCATTACCTTTGTGATGTACTTGGTGGTTAATTGTGTGTTTGTGTATGTGGATGTTACTGGTGGGCCAGCCTTCATTGTCAAGTACAAAATCCAACAAGATCAGAATGTCCCTGTAAGTAACTTATTTCTTTTTTCAAAAGTCACTTAGCTGAATGATATTGCATTTGTTTGGTTGACTTTGTTTTTGGAGGCGCCCTTTAAGGATGATTTTATTGATCAATAATGGAGCAATTGTTTAGTTATGGCTCAATCAGCACCATTCAGAATATGTGACTTTGGCAATAATAACGTGAACTACAGGTTATTCATAAACTAACAAGTGTGTTTTTATGTCCTCATACACTCAGTGATATAATGAGATTTGTCATCATTTTTCTTGATTTCAGGATTGTAAAGAATTGGTTTTTGAGGGATGCTTTTAGGCAATACAAACATATACCGTAGACCCTCCGTTGCCCCGGTGCCCTCTGCCACCCTCAAATTGCTGATCATTTCCTGGAATTTTTCATTAATCCCCAATTTTGCCCCTGCAATCAAACTCAAGACGTCTCAAATGATGCTGACAATAAAGCAGGAACGTTCCCTATAAATTCTATGTTGTCACTCTTATCTTTACCTGAGCTTAACTTGTACAAAGCTTAACACACATACTGTAAGGAAAATCATTTGTATCACTGCCACATGTACATGTACTAAACAACCACATCAATGTTATTTCAATACGTTTTTCAAGTGCAAAATCTGAAACCGAATGCAATTATGTCAGTGGATGATTTTTGCGAAGAACATCCATCATATGTTAATGGGAGAAGTTTCCTCAAGACCCCCATTTATACTTTGGAAAAGTCTTAAAGTTTTATGAATGACATGAATGAGGTGCATCTTCGTAAGGTACACACAACTACACAAATAATATGTTAATTAATACACTCATGTAGCAATTCATTATGTTTGAGCTTTAATACAGATGTATGTATACGGCAATAGTGACACTGTCCTAAGCCAAAAAAAATAATAGTTCTGCTTCCGGCTACCCTACCTACCCTATTTTGACAGCCCCTACCCTAATTTTTTTTGACAGCCCCTACCCTAATACCTAAAATCCTGGCCAAATCTCACTGGGTCCCCAACCCCCCGGCCCCCATTCAATGTTGTCTCTCATTGCACGGTGTGTGCTCCATCAGCTGGAGAGAACAACATTGACCGGGGCAGCGGGGGAGTGGGTGACCGTGGCAGGCTCAGGAAGTGTCCCAACCATTTTTGCTGGAATTGTACCTACCCTTTTTTCAAATGCCATGTAATCGGAAGCAGAAGTATTTTTTGTTGGCCCTACCGCTCTAACACGCATGCATGGGCGTATTCATCTTTTCAAACCGTGGACGAAAAATACCGGAGAACAAAAGAGAACAATATCGTCCACGATTCCCAGCATACGTCCGCGATTGGGGTCGTGTACAAAACCTATCGGAGTCTTCCTAAAAAGTTAGTTTTCAAACAAAAGAGGGACAATAGGAAGTCCATGATCGACGGTGTGAACATGACGGTGTGTGCGTGTACATGCATGTGCTACAGTAGCTAGTGTGAAAAATACATTTAAATCGGAGAATTCAGGACCGTTACGGTAAAACAATACACATTGATAATGCCACAAACATTTCACACTTGCACTTTTTCTTTTGGTATACATTTGTGTACTAGACCATTACATTTGCTCAAGTCCATACTATTAAGATACAACATCTATTATCTATACATGGTTAGATTTTAATATTATGTATTAATGAATGACGCAAGAATGGCAACAATCACAGTATATATCAACAACACCAGCCAGTCAGGTCCTTCACTGAGCTTCAAGTTACTCTGGTTCAAAAACGAAGACTCTTGGCTGAATTTTACAGTGAAGGGAAGTGCAAATTCTAGTTGAATCTGTTCCTTGTTTTGGAACAGTAAGATGACTGCTAGACCACAGCCATCTTACTTATATTTACCTTTCTAGTAATTGTCATCTTAACTTTAGTGAAATCCAGAGTGACCCCTGATAAAAGTTGTGTTCATCTAAGGAGCCCCAGACACCATGGACACCGGAGGATTTGTTGAGATATGAGTACCTTCATCAGTACGGTTCTCCAGACCAGTGATGCGATTGGCACCCATGTGATGGCAACATAACATCTGAAGGAGTTTTTTACGAAAGCGCTCATATGCAAAGGCATAGATAAATGGGTTGATGCACAAATTCAAGACCACAATGACAGAGGTGAACTCATACACAGGGTCACTTATGAAGTTTGGATGTAGGTTGAGATTATACAGTAAGTAGTAGATGTCTGCAGGCAACCAGCAGATGGCAAAGAACATAGCGACAACGATGAGGGTGATTGTGACATTGCGATTAGCCTTAGAAAACATTTCCCTGGCAGCTGCATTGTTCTCTCCTCGTGTTCTGGAACGTTGGTGCAGAGACCAGATGATTCGTGAGTAGGTGAAGACCATAATGAGGAGGGGTATGACCATCTCTTGCAGAAAGATGAGGACCCCTCCTACAGCCTGCACCTCCAAGCTGGGCCAAGAGATGTTGCAGTCCATTGCCTTGTTGTCATAGTAACTAAGAATGACAACATGTGATGCTGGCAGCCAGCCTGCTATCCAGGGAAGGAGCAAGAGTGTTTTCAGACGGCGAGCTGAGAACATGTTGCGATGCTTGACTGGGTAGCATGTTGCTAGATACCGCTCAGTGGAGATGACTGCCAGGTTGTAGGTAGAGGTGACAAACATGCTGTATTGGACCCACTCAGACCACCAGGTGCGACAGTAGAGTCTCACCAGAAAGTTAGCAGGAACAGGTGGCACGGCAAGGGCAAAGCGTCGGGTGAGAAAGATGATTGAGCCAAAGAAGTCAATGATTGATTGGTGGATGATGAGTTGATTTGTAGTTGAATTGAACACCTTTCTGTGATGTAACATCACAAAGCAAACCAGAGCGTTGCCAAGCATACCCAGAGAGCTCAGAGCAATGAAGAAAAACAGTGCAACATTGAGACTATCAGGACTTGCTGTGGTAGGACTGGCTTTATCTGAGGTGACAGAGACTGTTTCTGTAACCTCTCCTAAATTTGCAGCTGTGGATGCCTCCATTGTGGAATATTTCACTCTCCTCAGAATTGATCTGGAATGCAGCGTGGTTTGGAGTATTACTTTGGGGTGAGGTATATTGTTTGCAGGCTTGCAGTCTCCTTAAATGCATAAAAAGATGAGATGATGCACTATTAGATTCTGCAATTTGTACTGCCCGAGCATAGAAGGCTTGGCAACTTTTATACTGCATGGGCAATAATCCCTTGCCGTCACTTCTGGACCTGCACCCAATTAAGCGGCTTATTTCAACCTACAGCATTTTGCACAGAATTGCCTTTTAAGTCTTGCACAGTCTTGTGCGTCACAAAAAAGGGTTGCACTACCCAGCCTTTGTATTAGCTGCAAGGGATGCTCTTAGTCTTACAGGATTATTTTTCATTCAACTTGCACTTGTTTATTCTCTTGGCCTTTTGGGTTTTTTTTTCAACTGACAAGTGGGAATTTGAAAAGCACTTCACCAAGCACTATTATAATGGCAGAAGCTGTGATTCTGTGGTACCGGAACTTTGTCTTTTCAATCTGTCCTTTTTAAGAGCAAGCATGTAGGTTTGATATCAGGATGATTAACGTTGAAAATCAAAAGCTACGCTCTATCTTAGGCAAAGGGTAAGACTGAGTGATTTTATTCACAATGCTGATCTTAAAGAAGGACTGTACTGGTATTTCTTAAAAGCATTTGAGAGTACTTTGCATTGTTCCAAATAAGCTCCTTTGATTTCACTTGTTATTCAACTTGTAATATAAAAGGAAGAACATTGAGCCCCATGAAATGCCCCAGCTTTTAAAGCTTTGTTTCTAACTAATGCCAGTTGCTAAGTTGTGACGTTATTCAAGAAAACTTTTTTGAAATTATTGTGTGTATTTGCCCCTTTTGTTTGAGCACTCTATCTGTTTGTGAGCTACAAGGTCGAAGTAAATTTCAGAGTCACTGGCCACTGAGAGTAAATTCCAAAACGCGCTTTCCTGTTGATTTTTTTCTGATCAAACTTTTAACTCAGAAATTATTTACTACACGCACAATTGATAGTTTCAATTAAATTTCAATTTTCAATACATGGGTTGAGAAAGCAACAAAACAATTATAATGAACAAAACCATTCCATTATCATAACAGCTTCTAATTTCATGTAAAATAGAAGAATAAACAGTTAATAAGCAAATGAAAACAAATTTGAAACACAAGTGCAAGTCCCATATCAAAAACTCAGTCTTTGTTTTATCCCACTGCATTCCATTTCCAAATATTAATTTCTAATAAAAATATTTGATAATAAACTGAATTTCCAAATAATTATGTGGCACAGCTCATTTGTATGTGTTGTTTGAAGGGCCTTGTAATTAATTGTTTTCAGGTGGACTGGGAGAGACTGAAGAAGGACTTTCGTTCGGTGTTGTTCAACATCACTGTGGTTAACTTTGTGTTTTTGGTGTGCATGTACCCCATGGGATTGTGGTGTGGTGTGAATGCAGATCCCAACTTACCCTCCTTCCATAGAGTGCTGGCTGAGTTTGTTGTCTATCTGATCTTTGAGGAAATAGGATTCTACTACTTTCACAGGTTGGTTTGCTACACGCTGATTTTTAACATTCAGTTTTCCTTTGTTTAGTATTATGCATGTATTTTATTTCTCATTTGCTTCAGTTAAGAAATCAAGTACACATATCCTTGAATGTAATTTGGCTTTAGGAAACTGATTGTAAAAAACCTCCAAAGTCACACAAATTGAATATTTATCCTGAAATACCTCTCAGACTAGTTGCAGACTTAATGCAGATACTTGGGCATACACAATAAGAATGTGATGTTTAAACATTTAAATAACAACTACAACATTGAAATGCATTCATATGTATTTCCCAAATATTCAAATGGAACACAAGTTTTCTGGCCAGCCATAGTATGTAAGTTACACAACATACAAAAAACATGTATGTAGCACCCTAGGGGCTGTCCATAAAGTACGAACACACAAAATGCCAACTTTTTGGATCCCTCCTCCCTCTGTACGCATATGCATTCCTGTGTACAATACATGTACTGTACATGTACATGTTCATTGTACATGCACATGTACATACTGTATGTGCACATGTACATACTGTACGTGTACATGTGTACATTATAAAGCATTATGAATGCGCTATGCTTGCTGGCTAATATAAGCAGTCTTGTAATTGGCAATTGTGTAGTAAGGTTACCAAACTAGTGACATTTACAATGTAGAACAAACGAGTGTCGTGGCTGGAGGGCAGGGTTTTGATTTTTGTATGGGAAATTTTGCGGTAAAACGATGACAACTGACGACAAAATGCAACACAAAAATAAAGTGGCGATCACCGTCCGCGACTTGCGTTGTTTCACATTGCAAAAAATGTGTATGGAAATTAAATTTTCTACCAAAAGAAACTGTTCAAATAAAAAAAAAATGTTTTTAGATTTAAAAGAAGTTTTACGTTACAGAAATTGTTTTGGAATGATAAAAAAAAACTGTCTTGACTCTAGCTACTTGACCAAAACTCAAGAGAGGCCCTTATCACAAATGTCTTTTTGATCATGTCGCGGTCTCTGAAGTTTAATGGCCTCTAAAGGCGTTGGCTGGCAGTGTACTGGTGGCACTGGGAAGACAAATCTAAACATGCTACATCATAACATGGTGGGGATGAAGCCTTGAAGGGTTCTGTGTGAAGGGTTCTGTGTTATAACAATTTTCAATGCATAAAAGCTGGTTCTGGTAGGTATTTAATATGAGAAATAAATGTACATTGATTTCATGACTATTTATTAAAAGCAAATCATCGCTCTGGGTACGTACACATTGGCCTGGACCACCCTCCCCCGCACGGTGTACTCAATGTTAACACCCCGCTCCCCCCCCCCCCCCCTTCGTGTGTGTGTGTACGCCCTTAATGGATGGCCCCTAGCACCCTGGGAAGTATAAGTATGTGGTTTTCCTATGGGAAATGGAAGACTGGTTTATAGGCTTTATTAGAACTTTCAAAATTATTCTTCTAAAAAACTGCTTATTTTATTACCTACAGTATTCCTTTGATCATTTTGAAAAATGTTTAAGCCTCCCTGTCTGGCTGGCGTTTCAACAAGACAAAATCAAGTGACTGTTTTTAACAGTTGAATGCTCCCTTACTACATAAAGCAGGCTTGAATGGCTGTGATTGTTATGAAACTTGATGTAGCTATGCTTTGACTGTAGGACATTGATAAGCCAGCTATGCCTACCAGTCATGTGTTATTGTCTGTTGTTTGAAATTGACTGTCACAGTGCCTACAAGAAATATGATCTGACTGTTAGTGACTAGCCTGTGTAAAAGGCATGGCAGGGAACAGGATTAAATTATTGACTGTCTGTGACTGATCAAACAAAAGGAGGGTTTATATATATTATTTTGTATGTGTATTAACTATCAAGAATTTGGTCATGCTGTAAATGTTTAAATTAACTCGTTAATTTTGTTTGTAATTGCAAAGGCTGCTACACCATCCACGTCTGTATAAACACTTCCACAAGCAGCATCATGAGTGGACGGCACCCATTGGTATCCTGACGCTGTATGCTCACCCAGTAGAGCATGTGTTAGCAAATCTCCTACCTACCGTCATTGGACCATTCCTCATGGCTTCACATGTTGCTGTAGTCTGGGTGTGGTTAGTCATTGCTCAGACATCGGCAGTGATTTCTCACTGTGGCTACCATCTGCCATTACTGCCCTCACCTGAGGCCCATGATTTTCATCACCTGAAGTGAGTTCCTAGAATTGTTTAAATGCAGTATGTTGCTGTTAAAGGGGCACAAGGTCCTGAAATCCCCGAAAATTTCATGTTTTTGATTGTTTACTTATCCTATTTCAAACATCTGGTTGAAAGGAAACCAACCTAATGTCTTACCATTTCCGAGAAAAGACGGGGAAAAACCCTTGATTGTTTACATCGGACACGACGGAGTACGAATACGTTTTCCTGTTGTTTTCAGTCAATGTACGATAGCTGTGTGTGTGTTTATTATAACTTCGTATACAGCACAGGATGGTGCTCCCGAACTGCGGTGACCAATCACCAATGATTTCTTACACGTCCGCAAAAGGCAAACACTTTACGGATGAAATTTGGGACCCTCAATACTGTGTATGAGAGTCCCAAAACTAACATGCAATACAAGAAAAATAGACTGGCACCTGAAACAACCAGTCCAATAACCCTTTAGTACTGCATCAATCAACTGTGCCAAAAGAAACATCTGGCATGTCTGGTACTAGTCTCTATTTACTACACATTTCTCTATAGTCAGCCACCAGACTAATGACAATGAACAAGAGGTTAGTCTTTTCAAATAGTTGGACCATGGTCGACATGTACCAGTTTAGTCTTTAGGCTCATTTTGAAATCACTTGACTTCCCTCCCATGTGCAAAATATTGAACAAAAGTCTCCTTTAAAAATTGAGTTGAGTCTTCAACTTGGTTGGTGAAATACTGAGGACCTTTTCTTTGACCAATGAAAGTTTTGGAGAAATTTGCTGGCTCAAAGAGTGAGTAAAGTTGGCCTGATCTAGTTTTGCATATTTTTGAGCACCCTTAGGTCCCAGTTTGGTTCAATGCAATCCACTCATCATTCAAAGCAAATGCAACCACAACGTGAATTGAGATTCATGTGATGGAAACTGATCTTTGGAGAGTCCAGTTATGTCATACGAATGGATGTGTCTGTACTGGAGTAGACCAGATAAAGAATTACATGCAGTAGGACTAATGAGCAATTGTGTTGAACATTGTAAACTATCTTAAGCGCTGTCAGTCAGATTATATGACATGAAGGAAGGTTTGTTTATTTATTTTTTTTCTGTCATTGTTTCCATGCTATGATAGATTTGTGAATTGCTTTGGAGCACTTGGTGTGTTGGATCGCCTACATGGCACGGATGCCATCTTCCGTCAGGCTAAGCAGTACAGTCGCCATTGTGTGCTGTTAGGAACCACTCCATTATCCCAAACCTACCCAGATGGGACAAAAGGTCAAAAGGTCATCAAAGAGGGAGAGTAAAATCATGTGGTCAGATCATGGAACACAAACTTCAAATTCAAATAGATTTCATCACATTTATGTGTGTGCTCAACTGTACATTTGTAAATGTAACAAGTTTCAACGTATTGTTCTGGAATAAGTCTGAACAGTAGAACCACAATAACAATGAAATTTAGGCACATTAATAAAGTAATTTGTGCATTAATTGTGTTGAATATTTTCAACGATTTAATATATCAACATAATAAGCGTGACAAGATGATACACAGTGCAGAGTGGCACATGTAACAAGTGAACAATTGTAATGGCTAACCCAAATAAGTCAATTTTGGCCACTTTATCTGAAATGCCTCATGATATTGTGCCATATTTTGTTAGGTCTCGTTTTAAAGGAAATATTAATGAAAAACAAAGAATCTTAAACTATATGTACATTTGTTACGCATTTCAGATGAGATAGCCAAGATCCATTTTAGTTGTTTGTTGGTTTTTTCTTTTCTAGCGTAATAATGTTACAATTTGTTTAAAAGTAAATGCTGTGTGGCAGCTTACCAGGAAAAGTCACGGATTACTCGGCATGCTCAGGTAGGACTCCAACCCATGTTCTTAGAAGTGAAGGTGACTTTAATAACACTTCACTGTTAAGCTTGCTGGTGTCGGCTATCAAACCCTACTTTCAATAAAGGGATGAGGAAGATCCTAGTAGTGGTCCGACTGATGATGCTAACAAACATTTCCAATAATATTGTTATTAGTTGGACGAAAAGATATAGCCAACATTGTGTAACTTAGAAACGTGACAAATGAAACATACTGAAATGCAATATAACATTTACTTTTGCTGTCACGGTAATTTTCAGAATTGTTGGGGGTTAGTATTTTATAGCAAATATTGTTACACTGACTTGTTGAAGGTTTGTATTCATATAGATGCTGATACCCCCCCCCAAAAAAAAAAAAAAATAAATGCTGTTCTGGTTCTGGTGGAATACTGCATAATTTCCTCAGCAGGGATGTAATATGCAGGCATATGTTCTTGGAGTCTGGTTCCCTGAACCTACTTCAAATGAAATGGAGAAAGTTATAGACATCTGGGAATTGTCAGGTCAGGGAAGCAGGCTATAGCTAGCTTGCACCCGTTCACCTATATATAACCGATTGAAATCAATGTGGACTAACTAAATTTGGTAAATTGGGAACAGTATTTGAAGAAAAAAAATTCCAACGACAGTTGGCCGACCATTGTTGGAAATTGATACAAAAATTCCACTTTTCTTGTAAATGACTGCACACCAGGTGCCATGACTGTTGTTCACCTCCAATAGTTGCAAATTCTGTATATCAATTGTAGGTAGGTCCTACAATAGGTTCAGAAGCAAGGTTATAAAATATTTGTCCCATTCCTCATCCTGGGAAGGTACTCCAGAATGTACTAGGTTCAATAACATACCCCCTGCCTATAACGGAGGTCCAGTGCTTGGTGTAGTGTCATACATGTATAACGTTACTTTGACAGCTATTTTGTATCACGTAAACCATTTTATTGTTTCAATGCTACTTTTGTGATTTAATTAAACCAGTTACACCAGCAGCCGCTAAATTTTTAAATCAGAAAAGCTGAAATATTAAATACATTTTTGGGGGGCAGCAAAAGTGTATCAAAGTAATCCACATCTGTTTGAAGTAGTGTTTTTTATTAAATCTCATTTGTATGTAAAGCAGACCAATATAAGTTAACTAAGACCAAAAATGTAAAAATACTCAAGTTAAAATTAAGAACAAAACTGTTAATTGTATCGCAGCTGAAATGATGAAGTCAGTAGATGTATTAATCTGAAATGTGAGTTGTGCCAATTAAAACCGCCTGTAAAGCCACTCTATCCTTACTTGGTTTTGTTTTGTTCGCATGTGGTTTTGCCTGTAATAAATAATATCAAGTATCATTGTTTACCCAATGCTATAGTCTGTAAATAAGCGGTAGACCCCTGGGAAAATACAGTTTAATTAATAAGTTTCTCAATGGCCAATAATATCAAAGTATGCGAAGGCAATAAAGAAACAGTATTTTTAGCAATAATGAAATGCATATTTACACTCATTTAATTGGTATTTGATAATAAAAAAAAATCTCAAAATGTTTCTCCCCCAACACATATGGTGGAAGTGACCGCATGTATTAGAGAAATGGTGCAATAATGCACATAAACTAGATCGACGATTGGCGCTATTGTCATGTAGTTGTACGTTCCTTGACGTTTGCTGTATGTGCAGACAGATCGAGCACCATAATTAACTGTTGAAAAAACTTGAAATTTCTTGTTGGTTATGTTGGTAGGGAAGTGTTTAGTGTCTACTCATGCGTATCATGTACAGTGGAACAATAAGGACCTGTCCGAGGATGCTCTATAATTGATGATCAGTATGGATCAGTTCTCTTTAAAAAGAGGAGTGTTTTTTAATCTTTTGGGTCATCAGCACCGGAAAAAAAAAGACTCTTTAGACTTGGCATTACAGGATTGCAATGAAAAAACAGACCCTTACAAACCCTTACAAACCCTTAAATTTAAATTCTAATTTCAATATCAAGTTTGTGTGTAATTATTATATTTGCTGGCCACTTGACTCTTCTTCATGACTTCTCTCTTCAAATAATTCGGAACTATCCCAGGGTGACCGTAATTAGTGGCAAAATTCTGCTAGATGCGCTTCAACAATCTGCTAGATTTAAGAAAGATCTGCTAAATCACCTATTGTTACACGATTTAATACTCACGTGCATGCAGCGCAGATATTATAGAATAAGGGAATAAGGCCAAAAAAAAGTCTCCAGTTTCTGGTATGGAGCTTGCCCAAAAAGTGGTGCGGCGACGCGGCTTTTTTTTTTTTTTACCTGATTTTTTTGCTTCAAATGTCGGCTGATGACTGCAAATGGCATGAATGGTGCCCGACTAAACTTAGTGCAAATATATATGGGAGTACAGAGAGGCCACATAAAGCTTAGTCTGGACCATAACCTAATCTAAAAACACGTTAAAATTGTGCAGCAGCAGGATTCCAGTCGAACCAGTGAGTTTGGCGGTTTTGAGACATCATCTTTCATTGAAAAAAAACCTTTTTCATTTTGCCGACGCGCATGGCTACGGCGACGCGCGCGCATACCAGAAACCGGAGACTTTTTTTTGGGGGGGGGGGGCCTAGTAACAGAGTGAGGAGCCGGTCTTCACTGCGTGATAATGACCGGGTGTCGGGGTGACCGCTGTTAATGGACCGAGACGAAGCTGTCACTCCCACACCCGGTCATTCTCACGCAGTGAAGACCGGCTCCTCATACTGTTATTCCCATTAATAAATACCTTTTTAACGAAATAAACAGTTAAAATGCTCCAATTTTGTGACTTTCTTTCGGAGATATTTCCAGACTTTTTTGTGTTCATGTTCATGGGCCATATTTTAGCTTAACAGCTATAACGACGTAAACTCAACAGAGACTGCTACCGTAGCGAAACAAATTACAACAATGTTTTCATATTGTGACAAAAATCAGCTTTTCCTTTAAATAATCTTTCCGTACTAGAGAATAGTCTGGTTTCCTTAACATGAATCTCGGACTACAGAATGGAGATGAAACTTGTTGATTTTAGGCCATTTTCAGCCCTCAAATCCAACTTTATTCACCTACTAGACTTACCAAATATTCGTAGTATTTATAGAATAATTCCACAATGATGTGAAGAAGCCATTAACTTTGCGTTACACTGTTGTTTCTTCCAGGTACTCATGCAAGTTTTATAACATTCAAGGCATTTGACGTATGTGCACAGTGTTATTGAATGCACCCATTGTTTGTGTGTTATTGACTTTTGTAATGTTATTGACTTTTGTTAATGATGTACTTAACTAATGCAGAGATTTCATCATCCGGGTTGGTGACTCGTTTTGCATACGCGATACGCGCTACGCGCACTTTTAGCCTATTGGAACGCGCGCGCTCACTGCGACCCAGATTCAGCCCTGCCAAAAGTGCATAAAAGGCGAGCTGGAACAGCAATCGAGCGCTCTGTTCGCTCCAGAACAAGCCCTGTGGGAAGAACCAAGCGGATGTCAGGATTCGGAAGAAGAAGAAGGAACAAGCAAGAGGGAACAAGCAAGAAGATGAAGAAACAAGAGGAATTGAAGAAGTAGCCTGAGGAAGAAGATAAGAAGAGACGAAGCACGAAAAAGAATAATACCGATGTCCACACGGAAAAGGAAGCAACGTACAACGGCCAACGACAGCCCATGCATTATACGCCATGTACTGTGTGTACATATCCGCGCACAAAGCATGCTTAATTAGACTTGCTATCAGTCCAATTTGCGCACTGTGTTTAAGCGGCAGCAATTAGAATGTGCGTATGCAAACTAAAGTGACCCAATCTGATGAAGTGTTTAATTATTATTATTTGATGGTGATTGATTAAAACAAACAAGAAGTTTGATTTTGAATTATAGCCACTTGTCTCCGCTGCCTGACTGATTTATGTCAGTTATTGTCTTTTGAAGTTATCTGCCTCAGAATAAAAGGTTTAGGGCCAGACTTTTGGGCCAGACTCTTAGGCAAGACTTTAGGGTCAGACTTTATAGGGAAAGACTTTAGAGCCAGACTTTAGGCCTATAGAACAGACTCAAATTATTTTGCCTCCTCAAGGGCGGATCCAGGGGGGGCCAAAGGGGGCCATGGCCCCCCCCAAAACGAAACCAATTTTTTTTTTTTTTAATGTGACATCGCAATAAAGGCAGGCAATGAGCACACCACCATCTTTTCCTCAAAAAAAATTGGTTAAAGTGGTCAGAAATTGCCTCAGATCGCACCACAGAGCATCTAGAATCCAAAAATTTTTCGGGGCCCTAGCGGGCCCCGAACCCCACGCCGTAATTTTGTAGACCCACTTTTGGGGGGACCAAATTTTTTTTTGGCCCCCCCAAAAATTGTGTTCTGGATCCGCCCTTGTGCCTCCTCCACCCCAGCCTTCCCTTTTCTATTGCGTTTGCGCGCCAAGTTATAGTCCAACCCCTCCCCTTACCCTTCCCCTATCCATAAAGTCATCGAGGCCTTGAAAAAAGCTACGCTACCAGACGAACTCCACTTGGGTCACGTCAGGTTGACGTCCTGAGATTGTGACGGCGCCCTCAACGCTGGTCCCGGTCAAGCACTAGCTCAGCCATACATCACCGATTTCTCCTGGTTATTAATCCCGGCGGGTTTTTAGGGATTCGTTGTACCCCTGGGTATATCGAGCCCCGGATTCCCGTAACAATATCTTTACCTGATGGAGGAAGCTGAAATCTCGTTTACTCATTCCTTGTGTCCGGAATTACAAAGATGCTTGGTTTAGGAAAGGTAAATATGTCGGTGGGTGAAGTGTTCAAAGAAAATAAATCATAGATCTACGCTTTCGTCGTAAACATCCTCAGTATATACTGCACTGCTGTACGATGTCGTTTCAATTAACTTCCTTACGCGCGCGCACGCGCGCATCCCTAGCAACTGTGTTGCGTACGCGCGCGTCAGTCTCATCTCACGCGATGGGAGTTGAGCGCATGTGCAGTGCTCTATTGTTACAAGCTACCGCAGGACTGACCAATCATTGGCTTGCATGGGGCTGAACGGGGCTGATCAATGCTGGTTCAGGGGCCATTTATTCACTTGATCTTTGAAGCCGGTGTAGCGTGAATTTAGGTTTCTATGACTCAAACATTTTCGTGAAGGGGTAGTTCAACATCTTTAAAATCAAAATAAATTGTAGTTTATAATTTACCAATCAAATGACGAAAATTTATTCAGGTGTTGTATAAAACAAATAACGAATGTTTTACGTTCGTGCGATGGAAAGAATAATTTCATTCGGTGACAGATTGAATGTTCTATTCCACTCGGCTTCGACTCGTGGAATAGAACATTCAATCTGTCACCTCATGAAATTATTCTTACATCTGTGATGTCAACCTCGTCCCCAGGGTGTCGAGCAGTACGCGACCACCACAACCTGCTCTCTCACCCTGGTATTGGATCATTTGCATGTGCAAGATTTTTGAACACGTATGCAAATGAGGAACAGTCTGGTGCCTGGATATGCGTTACACATTAGCGTTTGTTTTTGTATGCGGAGTCTGGGGTAAAAACAGAGTCAATTCGTAGCAGCGCGAGCACGGCGTGAGTTTCAAAAACACGATTTTTGAAATCAAACTGTTACGATCTTATCAAGACAACATGCAGTATCATATTTCATATTAATATGAGCAAATTGGAAAGGAAATTAGTAATTTCGAGAAGGCGTGGACGAATGATCGCGAAAACACGTACTGCACGTTGTGAATAATAGCACCAAGTACATGTACCAATAAAAATCCATTACTAGCTAATTGCAGTATCCAATCAGGATACAGGAAGAAAGTTTCCTATCCAGGGTTTACTATTGGAAACGCGGTTGGAAATAAAGTAAGCACTGGGGACGAGGTTGCTGTGATGTATTTCTCAAACTGAACACCGCCCTCTGTTGGTTACATTAAAGTTGACCTTCGGGGTTCACCAGGAGCACGTTTTGGCGGCCCTTGAGGGTGCACACCGGTAAATCGATCCGCCAAGCTCATGAATAAAGGTTATACCCTCAAAATATTCTATATTAGAGAGTTCTGAGCGCCGTAAAATTGGGGAATTGAAGAGATATGGTAGTGAACCTCTGGCCCGGACTTGGGGCTTCCAATTCTGAGCATTTTGGATGATATTGGGCTCGAAAGTGGCGCTATTTTGCCATGTTGTGGAGGGATCGTTTTTCAAGATGGCTACTTTTCCGCTTTGGGGAAAATAGGGGTCGTCTTCTTTGCGTGATAATATCTCGAA